TGAGAATTTCCAGTGCCCCGAGACCAGAAATATTTCTGGGGATTTACATTCCACCATACTTTGGAATCTGTGACACTCTGCCTGCTGGTGAAGATCAGCCATTTGTGCCTTAGTTATTTTATATCATCTTGGGGTTTTTTGAGTCAAATTAATAGGTGAAGTTTGAGAAACTTTGTAGTTGACATGCAAATAGGAGTTTGGAGGGAGGGAAAAACAGAATTCGCACTGGCAATCAAACCGGCTTGTGGACCACCAACAAAGGGAGCCTGCTGAGGTAGTCATAGGTTTGGGTGTCTTTTGCTTTTAATCTTTTGTGTTCTGCGGCAAAAATAGAGGTGCTTGCCTAACTTAAAAACAAGTCTGGAGAAAGAACACTATCACAAACTTCATGGAGTATGTATGTTCCTTTTTTGGCTTACTGATTATATTGATAGCATTCCCCAAAACCATACCTGCTGCTATAAAGGCAAGAATGTTAAAAATGGATCCTTGCTGAAAGGGTGCTGCTGTCTTCTTACTTGTAATGTGATTATGGAAATGAACTATACAATCGCATAAAACTACCTACTGATAACTTCTCTGAGTGGATTCAGAAACACAGCTCATAATGGGTACACTTCAAGATGAGGACAATCTGGTGAAATAGCTCTGTTTTTATAAAGTTAGATGTTTGCAAAGTTGAATGTACATTTTACAAACCTAGGTCTTTAAATAGGTTTGGCTGGTATTTTGATCACTTGCCGATTATTTTTTTTTATCGTATTTTTAAACTGGAAATCATAGTGCCATGTTCACTTGTGCGTCTGTTTTAATTAGGCCTTGCCTCTGTGGTCTGTCTGAAGTTGTTGGAATAAATCTTCATTTGGGATATTTTAAAAATGAAGTAGTTTTTTACTTGATTTTGATAAATACACGTTTATAAATGGCTATAACTGAATTTGTTTTCACAGCAAATTTGATAGTGTTTAACTTTTTGTGAAATATATTTGTTTACAAATGCTGTCTTTTAATATTTGTTTTGATCTTTCCTGTTTGTGCTAAGTACAAATAAAAATTTTCAATCTTGTTCTGGTTATGACGCATTATTTAATTTTGAAGGATATGGGGGGAGGGTGGGTAGATATGATAGAGCTTATGCTTGTACCAGTTTTGCCCTGGAATCAGTAATGTTATGCTGGATCAGCATTTTCAGTGCAGTCTGTAGAGGGGAAATCAATGAAGCAATTGTGCCAGTAAGATGTGTTGATGCCAGGGTAAGGCCTGAGGTGGGTAATCACAGAGGCTGAATTCAGTTTCCCTAGTCTGCTTTTCCTGTGTTTCAGCAGTGGCTTATGTGGGGAAGGAAGGAAGGAAGAGAAACTTTGCTGGCGCTGTTGGAGCCTAGCTTAGCTGCCACTCTGAATGCCCTCTGGAGGAGGCTTTTTTTTTTTCCTTGAATACACACATTAAAGTGGAGCATTGTTGCTTCGTGATTCACACTCCTACGTTCGTAATACAGTATTGTTCTTGTCGTATAACTGCATTGGCTTCTCTGTGGTCTGTTGTCAGTGTTTCTCCTTATCATGTGCTGTTATCTGTGGTTTGGTTTATTGCTAAAGGTGCACTGAATGAGAGATCTCCCTGACAGATGTCAAGAAAAGACAGCACAAGGCCTAACTGATACTTAAGTATTAAAATGCCGCATTCAGGAGTGTGCCCACTGGTGAAGAACAACCTGCGGGACTCGTGTGTGTTCTGCAGTTTGTGTGTGGCACCTCAAGGGAAGCACTTGTTACTTTGCTTCTCTGGAAGAGGAGCTCATACACTCTGCACTGTCATTTTTTCATCCCACATCCTACTTGCTGTGTGCAGAAGTCTCTGTACCAGCAAAATCACTGAGCAGTCAGATAGGTAAGAAGAGATCAATTTCTCTGTCCTTCCTCGCTCTAGTCTTAGTTGGCTTCTTGCAGCAAATGGGCTGGGATACAGTTGGGAAGAGGAGGAGTATATCTACCTGCTTCTTCTCTGATCCCAGCACTGCTATGACCAGCCTGTGCGGCTTACCGTACCTGAGCAAAGGTGGATATGGATAGTATCCATCTGAACAGGGTAATACAAATAAGTTGTTTAAATTTGAAAGCACACTGGGTTTTCTAAAATTAGGTTAAATGTAGTAGCACCTTTTGTTTAGAAGTCAAAACACTGGGAAAGTCCTGGCAATATAAATTGATTCTCCATCCTAAATTCATGCTGCTACAGGGAGGCATTGGTGTTTATAGATGCACAAACTCAATACCAGGGACTTAAGAGCCGTGGTATGTGAGTGTTTATATGTTATATTGAGTGATTTTTAACTGGGAATTACTCATGAGAAAGTGCCAGACAGTTTACCAAAGAGCATGTTATGCAGTCATGCTGGATACAGGAAACTCAACGCACGTGTTCTAAATACACAGGGAAGTTGGTTTTGTTTTAAAAAAAGACCTTCAGACTGCTTGAAGGAGGTACCTACCACCTTCTGAAACCAAAGGAAGCACATTCTCAGCGTACCTGTTGACCCCTGTGTGCAAACTTTCTCCATCCGATTCTGAAGCGTGTTCATTGTGCATGGTTGATACTGTCTTTTTACAAGTCCAGCACACACTTGGAAACCCTTCTGTAATCTGATTACAGGTAATAAACTCTATCCTTGCAATGGGATGGAGGGTGTTATTAGTCATCTGGGTAATTACACTGATCTGAAGTCCAGCGTGTAATCGGCGGCATTCTTCCACTCGCTGGAGAGTTGCTTCATACTTCTTGGTTGAGGGTATCTTCTGATGATCTCTCTGCATACCTTCCTCCTGCATTCAGTGAAGCTGGAAACCAATTCTTCCCCAGCAGAGCTCAGGCCTAGCTCTCCACTCCGTAGATTCAGATTTACTGGGGAGTCACTTTTGCTCTGTAATAACTCTGTAATCGTGTGACCTGTCCCCCAAGATCTGTTAGGGGAATCAAAAAGGTGGCAATACCACTTCTGTAACTTGGGCTGAAATGTGTTGCTCTTCAGTCCCAACCAGACCCTGGCATGCAGACTGATGACTAGTATTGAGTACTGAAATACAACACTGAAAGTGATGGCACTTTTGGTTAATTGTTTTAGTGTGGGTTTTTTCTTTAAACTTTAATTTTCAGCTATTTTTCGCTGACATGAGTCACAAGCAAAGTGAACAAAGGGATTGGGTTTTGTAATGCATTTCCAAAGCTGGCAGCAGGGGGGTTGCACGCTTCAGGAGAAGAATTGCAAGTCCTTCCAGACCCTTTAATCAGTGAACCCACATGCAGATTGACCAAAACGAGGATTGCTTTCTCACATTGTGGATGGGAACAAAGCATATATTACAGCCTTTTGATGTAAAATGCCTTCCTTCTGGATGAGTGTTGCAGAAGATGCCTTCAGCCTACAACAGAAAGAGTGTTAGAGCTTGCAAGTAATTTTGAGAATGGAACTTGAGCTGCTGGCAAAGAATGAGCTGGGAAATGCCTAAGATGTGGAAGAGTGAAACTGAGTATATCACTTGCTCCTCAGGCATTTAAGTTGGATGGATGGAGCCCTCTGAGGGGGAAGAGGAAGACAATTCCACACCACAATCATCTGTTTTCAGAGGAGGTTTTCCGCAAGTCATTCCGGTTGGGTATCGAGCAGGCTGGCTAGCTCAAAGAAGAGAAGTTTTGACAGGCATCCATCCAACCTGACATACCAGATCTCTCAAAAGACTGTTGGTGATGAGTGGTTTTCCTCATGCTATGTGAAGGAGAGCCAAGGACATTGAGGGATGCTGTCATTGTAGCATTGCTAATGGTAGCCAAAGAGACTGTTGGAACCAGAGCTGCTGTAGATCAGGTAGCATTAATGGATATAAAGTAGGAACTGTATGTTTTCTAAATTGATCTCAGATTGTGTGCCAAGGGCTGATCCACCGCGACCCTGCCTTTTTTTGTCAAGACTGTGCTAATCCTGACAAAATCTGCTTTGAGAGCCAGCTTGAACTAGCATTTTGCTGGTCAAGCCTCTGCACCCTAGCCAAACTTGTGCTACGGTGTAAGGATCAAGGTTTTGAGCTGTTTCAGAATAAATACTTTTCTCTATGGTCATACTGCAATGCTTAGAAAAATACCATGTGCTTGTGCATGCTCCCTAGTTTTAGTGTCAAGGGGCCTGCAGGAAAACCAGTCGTCCTTGCTCAGTTGGCCCCAGACATGTAGAAAGATGAAGCTTTTGGACAAAACCAATGCTAGTCAAAGTAGATAAGAAATAACGTGTAAAGGGATGGACCACGCTTTTCTACCTGCCTCTTGCAGTACATTGCAAAGCAGCCTGTGGAAATGATGAAGACCTTGTTTGGCTTCACTTGTTTTCCATGTACTGTTTGTTGTTCCTTGAAGTGCTTGGCCAAATCGGCTTCCTTTCTGATTATATGTGCTGTTGCTTTTGTTGCTGCTGCGTCGCAAAGAACAGGTGAAAACTTGAATCAGCTGGAGACCTCCCTTGATATGAGTCACTTTCAGTAATAAAGCTTCTGCAGACTAAATGCTGCTCCCAACTGCTAATGACTGTTTCATGACTCCTTTAAAGCAAAACAACTTACTTTCAAACAGTCGGTTGCACAAGCATTAATCTAGATTTAGTTTATGAAGTTCACAAGTCGAGCCTCTCTGTGCACTGCCCACTGCGTGTATTAGTAGGTGCATGCTACAGAAAATGCAAGCATGTCTGTAATAACTTTCATACTGCTTTTAATTTCTGAATGCATTATACCTCCAATTTTGAACAGGAGGAAAAAGTATTGGTTTTTTATTTATTTTTTCTTTTTTAATCTGTATTTCCCATCCACATTTCCTAAAGATGGTGGTGGTGTTTTAATTGTTTTTTTCAGATACAATCTTGGCAGTCTTGGCACACAGATTGATGAAGATGAGAAGTTCCACCAGCCTGATATCTTAGACCCAGTGTTACTTCTTTGGTTTGTGTTTCTGGAATACTGGCTTTCTCTTAACTCTGTGGGGCTGCTTTTGGTTTGGTGGCATCTTCTCTTCCATGATCTGTTGCATGTGTCTTCCAGAAGAAATCTAGTTTGTTTTCTCTCTAGCAGAAGCAGCATTTATGATGACTGTTTTAGTCATCACACCTTCTGAGAACTGAGAAATATGCCAATTTAAAACTAAGATAGACGTTAAGCTAAGGCTATTGGGGAACCAGTGGAAATGCCCTTCGGGTTCTGTTTTCAAGTTGCCACCACAATTACATTTCCACTTTGGATTTTTTTTTTTTTTGTACTTTCTGTCTTTTTAGTTTGTAATAGGCTTGGTTTTTCCTTTCCCCTTTTTCTTCTTCCTACTTTCTAGCACTAGTGATACGACCTTCAACTTTCAACTATCAAACAGCAAAACCTGCAGCTCATCATATCAAAGGTGAAGATGTATTGGATTAAGCAAGAAAAGATGTTTCATTACAGGAACAGTTTGGAAAAACATGGAGTTCCTGCCTTAATGATGTCATATGTTGGTGGATTATAAAAAAGAAATGTTTTTTTTTTTTTCAATGAGCCAGTGAAAAATATCTTTTACTTTCTGTGCCCTGAAGAAAATGAAAGAAACATCCATACTTAATTAGTAGTAGGAAGCACTGATCTAATACAATTAAACTCCATATAAGAAGCTAATTATTTATAAATTACTTTTTTTTCCTCACTAAACCTGTAACAGTCTGTGCTGGAATTATAACCACAGTGGTTTCCTTGCCATTATTAATTTCTGCAGTTTTGAGAACCTTAGAGAAGTAGAAATACAAAGCACTAATAAGTCTCCAGTGCTCTCTAAATTGTATATTGAGGTAGCAGTGAGCTGAGTAGCTAAACAGATAACACAGTGGCTGTGTTTTGTTTCGTCTCCAGGGGCCAAGCCCCTGAGTTTTGAGGCCTCACTGGCAGACAGCAGGGCCAGCATGGTTGTGTCCTCGAGCCAAGTCTTTCTCATCAGTAGGTGTGCAGGAATCAGGAAGGAAAAGCTCAGGATAGAAATGGACCAGGGAAACAAAAGGGTTTATGAGAAGCAGAGCTTTACATTGGAATGTGCAATGGGAGGAACTGGAAAAGAAAAAACAATGAAGTCTGCTAGAGACCATGGGAATGGAGAAGAGGAATGAAGGAGGCAAGGGAGCTTTGAGAGTTCAGCGTCTGTGTCTTCAGCACCTGAAACTCACTGAATGAATAATCAAGGCTGATCTGAAGCAAGGCGTCAAGGAACTTGAATGTAAAACTGGATGCTGCTTCTCTATCAAAAGTTTGAGCCCAGGAGGGAGCCTTTTCTTATCGTTCATTTTCAGATTCTACTGTTGTATTTAATGTGTCTCTCTCATTCCCCATTTCTGACTTTAAAAAATGTCTGAAAATCACTTCTAAGATGTGAACAGTTTCTTGCTGTAACTCAGGTGAGTTGCCCAAGCGTTGCAGTGAAAGCAGAGATGGGACAAGTTGCAGATTTGTGAATAAGAAACATTTTGCTGTGCTGAATGATTGATTTTTGTCTTACCTGTTCATGCTGCCTTCTGAGCAGCTAACTGTCTTCACTGGTAGCATGTTAAAAGGGCAAAAACCTATAACCTAAGCTGAAGTCACTGGTGTGGCACTATTGTCAGGTATGTTCAGGTAGGCATGCTGGGCTTTAAAGTTACAGCCAATTACTGAAATTCAGAAGACCATGTATTTATTTGTAGGGCATTAGCAATATTCAGAATCTAGATAATTTAGAAGTATGAAACTTCTACAGTTTGATTAATTTCTTTAAAAACATGGTTTTTTTTCCAGATACTTTAGCTTTGCAGGAACAAAGACTGAAAGGAGATTTTTGTAAAATGGGAGCTTATTGTTAAGGGAAGCCAAATCCAGTGAACTGGCTTTAAAGCTAACCTTCCTGGTCTGCAAAATGTGAGGCTGCTGTAGTTCCTGGTTTCTAAGCTCAGCCTGTAGAGGTGGTTAGCATGTATTCCAGAGATGTAAATGCACGTAGAGCACACATTCATCCAGCCACACGGACAAAATGGGTGGAGATGAGTGCCTTTACCAGCAGACACATATAGCAGCACACAAGCCTAGCGCAGCACTGAGAGTTCAGTCCTGTCTGCATACACCCCCAGAGAAAATTGGAGAACAGTTAAGAAGATAGCTTAGACTACAGTTGAACCCAGCTTGACCAGCCAAGCATGCTGACCAGCAGCTTGCTTATGGGTGGCCTGTTCTTCCCTGATGCATACCAGGAAGAACATTCCCTTCCTTTATCTCCTCAGAGTTATCCCTGCTTTTTCCCCTGCATTGCTCCCCATTCTGTAAGTCCAAGCCCAAATTTCCTAAGGCTACCTAGGTAGTTTGTCCCTCATAGGGTGTTACTGTTATGGGTTCCTAAGTAGTGCTGGCCTTGGATGGTTGTTCTCACCAAAAATGTCCTTGATACTCCCCTTTAGTGCTCTTTGTCCATTTCTTATGTAGCTCTCCTGCGAAATCGGGCAATCCTTCAGGGCATGCTCTGTAACATTTATTAGGTGCTTACGCTTTCATCTGTTATATCCAGCAGCAACTTCTATCACATCCCATGGTTTCTTATGTTCTCCTTTATTAGCTAAGCCTCAGGCCCATGCCTGCATCTCTGTCTACATGCTTTGGCAGGTATGTGATACTGAGGAAAGGAGAAAGATAGGGATGTGCTTAGCTCACAGGACCTGAGTTACCTGATGGGTTAAGTGGTACAAAAGGCTGTAGCATGGTTAACAGCCCAAGATCAGCTACAGGCTGTCTCGGTGGCCTCGCTTGGTTTGCTCCTGTTTTAACCTGAGTTATCTTTCTCCAAGCTTTTTGTTTCCCAATGACAGGCATATGTTGTCTGCCTGTGACTGAAAGGGGAAAGCAGCACTGACTTAGGGGAGGATTTAATCTGTTTTAGGAAATTTTCTATCTGCTCTTCAGAGTTTTTCTCATCTGCAAGGACATTGGGGACAATGAAATTTTTTGACAGGTGATTAAATAGAATTAGCTAGCATTATGATTAATTAAAACCATTTGTAAACGAAGAAAAGCAAGTTTAGTTCCTCCTGGGCATATTTTGTGAGACCGTTTTGCAAGGCAGCATGTTTTGGACGATCTTTATGTAGAGGTGAAATCTGCGAGGACAATGGCTTTGTTGAGCCAGGATTTGTTTCTCGGTATTTTATTAGATCATGCTTTGCCGCAGGCTCTGTTCTTCTTGTGGAGAATTCCAGATTCCTCCTGCTTCAAAACTCAGTTCATCACCCTGTACTGCAGGAAGCTGCTGCTTTTGTTTCCAACATGAGAAATTCTCCCTGCCTCTGTCACCATTTCTGAGCACTTATTTCCGCATGGCCATTTTCTCTTTCTTTCCAAGGTTAGGTTGTCAGTCTGGGAGAAGACTGCTGGCTGCCCACTCCGCTTTCTTGGGGTATCCCTAGGAATGGATGGGAACTGCTGATTACCCCTGGCAGCAGGGAGAGGCAGCTGAAACACATATTCCCAGGCCTTCCCTAAAGGAAGCAAGTGGGCCAGCTCTCTGGTCATCTGGTGGTGTCAGAGCATGGAAACGTAACAGCTCAGCTTCAGTTACACTTCTCACAGTTTAGGAAGCCAGTTCTGGCCGGCAGAGGGGTCTTGGCTATGTAGTGTGGAGAGAAAAAATGGCATAGGTTTGCTTTTAGTGATCCCAGTCCTCCTTAGGAACTCATTGCTTTTATGTGTCCCAGTCCTTGGCTGCAAAAACGAAACTTCGTCCTCTCTTTTTTATAAGCAGTCTTCCTGCTATGGTCTGCATTCCCTTCTTACGTAAGTGAACTGGCTGCTGGCTCTTCTCAAAGTCTTTTGCCTCAATCCGATGGTTGTGGCTATTAATTAATTCTCACACAGAAAACCACCCTCCTATCCCCTTGTTTCCTCTTCATTCCTCTCCACAGGGAAATTTCCCGAGTATGTGAATTCCTAGGCTCTCTGTGTTACCTTGTGTCCTTTAGCAACGCAAAGGTATGTGAGAGAGTCTAAACGTATTTAAAGCAAGTTTGGCTAAAAGTTCGGTTGGGGTTGTTTGGGTGGTTTAAGCTTCTTTTGAAGTATGGGAATAAACCCAGAGTCTTCCCTCCCTTAAAGGGTGAGACTAAGCACCAAAATGAATGTTTGGCTTAACATAGCTGTTGAATCTCATCCCCCAGCTGCCACATTGAAGCTTCACATGCAGTGGTTGCTTTCTTTAGACTTCTGAGAGTCTCTCCAATCACACACATTGTGTGTACACATACACGTTAACATGTACTTTAGCCGTTTCACTGATAGCCATTTGGGAGCACACCTAACACCCATTTTGATGTTGGAGAAGGTATTGTTATGATATGGTGGTGGGTGAAATATCTCCTATTAGGGAATGATATAGTTGCAAGGAGCATCCCAGTGCATTCAGCAGGAAGCCTGTTGTGTGGATTTGAGCTGCTGAAAGCAGCACAAATCACCATGAGGCTTGCTCTGAGCTGCAGATGAAGGAGGATTGAGAGGGGTTGTGAAGATGTTTGTGTAAAGCTTGAGGGTTTCTAAATATCAGAAAATTGCAGTGTTTTGGTGCAGAAGCAGTGTTCAAAGCAAAGAATAGAGGTGGGTGTGGTGATTGTGGAAGGTTATTTATCACAACCAGACCTAGAAGCGTGGGATGTTTTTTAAACCACTGTTCAGCTACAGCAGGGAGGGTCTAAACTCAATGCAGAGCCATCCAAGAGGAGCAGTAGTTAGAGCCTGCTTTCTGCTGTTGCCCCACCAGAAGGGGAGAGAAGAGAGCCCCACCATTTGTTCTCCAGGTGTAACTTCAGGCAGGTGGGAGGTGCGTGCAGGAAGTGTTCAAGAAGGGGATATGGACAGGGTGCAGGAGTAAGCCATCTCTGGGATGCAGGTGGAAGATGTTTATGCAGGGCCACACAGTTATGTTCTACAGGACAGGAGAATGAGAATGGCAGTTGGGAGGATGGCATGGAAAGGCAATTACTTTGTCTAAAAAATCTCTTGTCACTCACAGGTTACACCAAAATGGGAAGTCTTCTCACCCCAGGCCTATTGTGGCTGAGAGAAAAGTTCCGAATGGGTTATGATCTTAGCAGATGAGAAAGTTTAGGACACAGCTCAGGAGGGATTATATGTTTGTGCTGGTAGGGGTAATCTGCTTCATAGCTGAGGCTGTGGGGAGTGAAAACCTGGCCAGTTTAAAAAGGGATCTGGTGTTCTTCGGGATCAGAAGATGAACATGAATCCATGACCCCAGGCTATTTAGGAAACAGTAAATGTCGAAGTTCCAGTGCATAAACAGGATCAGGTCCCACAGGACATGGGAACCAACCCTTCCTCTTCGCAATGTACTTACAAAGCCCCAGCTGAAATGGGGTACCCAGCTCTGAGCACCACATACTGGAGCAGGAGCCAGTTGGGCAGATGGGGATGACAAGATGTATCAGAGCTGTAGGAAATGTGTGACCTGTGAGGGATGATTGAAGAAATCAGAGCTCTTCAGACTCTGAAGCGAGATGTGAAGAGCCTTTTACAAAAACACAGGTCTGTAGCAAGAAATAACCTGTTCACTGTGTCTGTGATGGATGAGAGAGGAAATAGCAGGCTTAAATTGCAGTAAAAGAGACAGGATACGCAAAGTAAGTGTAGGCATGGCGAGACACTGAAATTGACTGCAGGGAGGTCATGGAGTCTCTGCTAGTGAAGGTGTTGAAGGCTCAGTTCAGCCAATAAGTTAGGGTAACATTGGCCTGCTTAGTTTGGTTTTTAGGTGAAAGGTGGATAATTCAGACCTTCAAACACCTTTTTGTTCCCCATTTTTCTATGATCTCTTAACACTTGTACACTAGACATACTCTGGGGAGGCAGTAGATAGCTGGAGCATAGGAAATACAAGAGTGTCAATTGAAAATAGCTATTAAAGCAAAGGGCAAGGAGTATAAAATTAGGGTAAAGGACTAGTAATGTAAGGTGAATGTAATGAAATGTAAAAGAACATGGAAAAATTAGTCAGAAAATGCATATTATTTGCCCTGTTCCTCAAAATGCTGCGTTTTTTGGTCAGAAGAAAGTAATTACGGGAGGTTGAGGCTAAAGGCAATACAAAGTGGCTTGTGAACTTTCAGTGGCTTTTTGAAGGTTCAGCCTCTGGTAACAGAATCCTAAGGAGTGCTTTGCCAGCAGGAGGAACAGAAAAAGAAGAAATGTTTTCTTCCTTTACATAATAGCCTGTGCGGCCGTGCCTCATATTCCTTAAAGGACAGGGGTTGGTTGTACAGGGAGCAGAGCTGGAGCTTGTTGGGAAAACTACACAGGTTAAGGATAGAGGAAAAAGAGGAAACCTGCAGGACAGCCAATTGCTATTAAAAGGTAAAACAGAGGTGTAGCACTGACATACTAGGAGGGCCAAAAGACAAATACAAGAGGTAAGATGAAAAGTGATAACTGTCTATGTATGCATATAATCTGAGAGCATTACTTAATGTCTAGGGAGCAAGTATGAAAACCTAGAGGATTTAGGATGCAGTCAGAAAGTTGGTTCATTCAAAGTTGTGATTTATTTGCATCAATGGTTTGGGGAGAGTGCATGAGCATGTTACCTTTTCAGGTAAGTCAGATAGAAGCAAGCAATAGAAAGAAAAGTTAATGGCAAAAAGATGCTTTGAGGGGAAAATCTCAAGTCTCTAGATTTAAGACAGTGGAAGCACAGAAAAATAAGTGAAAACCAGATATGATGTATGATAATAATGATGTAGCAAGAAATAACCCTTGTAGAAACTGCACTAAGATGTCCAATGTGCCCCTAAATTATATCATCCATCTGAAGTGCAAGAGTTGGCTGACTGCTGAGGTGAGTTTGCCTCAATATCTGTTAGCTGCTCTCAGCCGTGGAAGAGTACAGATGACTGCATCTTTTTAAATGGGCCAGAAGTTTCCATATGGGATTTCACATCAGAGTGCACTGCCTGGGTATTGACAGCCTGACTGGAGCTTTGCAACTTACTGCCCTCAAGGATTTCAGTGTATAGTGGAACATCTGCTTTTCTGGGCTAGCTCTTTACTTCATTGAAGTAATGGTCTCCCTGGATTTTATATGGTGTGAGCGCTCCTCTCTGAACAGTCAAGAAATACATCTAGAGAATTCAGTGCATGTTTGACCTCATGCCAAAGGGGTTTTGTCTCATTCCGTTGCTCAACTTATTTCCATTTTAACATGGAAGCTACCTCATGCCCATAGCAATATGAGGAGTCAGTGTAAGGATTTGATGTGATCGCCTTCATTTTGAAAAGACCAGTTGAAAATCTGCTAACCCAGCCTGCCAGTGGGTGAAAGGAAAGCAACCCTCAAGCACATGAGGGTCTGGGTCTTGAGAAATATTTAATCATAGGCTGAAAAAAGGATGTGCTGAGGCTCTGACTCAAAACTGATCCTATTTCCAATAAGGGTTTTTAACTGTGTGAACGAAACCGGCTATCCTCTCAGTCAAAAAACGTCACTTCAATCCGAGGTGCTCAGAGGGAGAGCGCAGGAGAGCTGCTACAATTAGTGTGCGATCTCATTAGCCTGTACCATCTTCCTCCAGTAGGCACTTGCTTTTTTTGATTATAACAGTGAAGATGTCGTGCAGTTTCAAAGACAGACCAGTCCTGGATTATCTGAACTCACCAAAGCTGTCCCCTGTGGATTAGACACCTATTTGTATTGTTTCCTTAAGGCAAATAAGGCATCAGAATTGCCTTTATTGGCTGTTGTTGCTATGTGCAGGGAACCTGCCAAGATTAATATACACAACGTTCCCTTCCCCACCTCCTGCTTTCAAAAAGTAGCCAGCATAAAAGTGTTATTCAATTACTACCCAGTCAGAAGCCTCATGTTGCCAGAAGCTGTTACTAAGAAGACAGCAGTTATTAATGATGTACCAAGTGGCATGCTTCAGCATATCTTTGGAGAATATACAGATGTTTGTTTGCAGATGACTGGTTAATTTTGCTTTGAATCAGTAAGTAATCTGCAGAGAGCATATGTAACAAATAGCTAGGGATAATTTATTCATTGTTTCCTTAATTATTCTGTTTGGGTTTATTCCATACCGTCAGGTTTTCAGCTGCTGTTAGTAATAAAAGCTGAAGATATAATTTCTTTAGAAGTTTTTGAATGGGCAGAAGATCCATCTTTTCTTGGAATGAATTGATTTACTGCAACTACTGTCTGATGTAATACTGTAGGATAAATTAAAACCTTATAAAAAATGTAAGCATTCCTCTGAGGAAAAAAGCAATCAAGTCATTTGCAGTGTCTGTATAGAGTTATCTCAGTCTTTTTTGTTTGCTGGTATGGAGACAAAATGTCATTTCCGGAAATTTATCATCATTTCAAACAATAAGTTGAAACAGCAGCAGTTAAAACCATAGAGGGAAATCAACAGTGTCATTTGACGCTTCTGAGTTAGGTATGATGAATTATGATTTCAGCATGTCTCCGTTTCTCTGGATGTTGTAGACTGACAACAGTTTGTCTGACTAAACATACACAAAAAAAAAACCCTCCTAGTTTGCCAGAACATGTATAACTCCTTTTTGGCCATGCACTGCTTTGCATGTTGTTACCTCTAAAACCTGTTATTTCCAATGGGAACTTTCTAATTTTTTCCCAAGTCACAGATTTTTCATACAGCTATTTTGCACCATGAATTTGGAGGCCCGAACTTTCTCAGGCACCTAATGTTCTGGGACTGTTCCTTGATCTGCTCTTCTATCAATTTCACTTTAAAGAAACTATTGTTTGCTGCCTGTCCACTTTCCTATCCCACTTTCCTAAAGTTGCAAATTCCAGCAGGACAAATTTTGATGTTTTTGAGGATCATATTCCATCAGCCATATGGCTTGGCGTAGGAGTCTAGCAGAGGTTGTATAGTGTGTAAAATCAAAACTATTTCTTATATTAATAAAATCATACCAAACAAGAAGAGGCATCCTTTTTCCTCACCTTATGAGTCCCCTGTTAACAGAAAGCAAAGGATTTGGGATATAAGTCATTAAAAATTTTATTTCCAAAAAATCTAAGCATTTTTTTACCCAAGAATGTTTGCACGCTGTCCAAAAGTACCATTTGTCCTACTGCTTACTGCTCTAATCTGAACTGAATTTACTTTGTAGCTATCCCTTGAACAACAGTGATCTGCATCAGTTCAACATCGAGGAGAACGGAGGAACACCGTATACTGCAAAAATGCCTGCAAGGCACCACCACCACCACCGTCATCACCACCACCTCGCAAACTACGGCCCCCTTGCTCCAGAGAGCAAAGACATTGTTTCTGCAGTTCCAAACCCAAACAGTAAGTCCACTGCAGTAAATGCCCTTTCGGTAACTGTGCTGCTGTGATTTGTCTCTGGCAAGGAGGCAAAGGAAACGGAAGGAAAAGGACGTGGTGTTTCAGTTTTCCCTCTTGAAGAATATGCTTCTTGTTATTATTTTCTAGCTTTGTAAGTGAGTGCAAACGAGACAGGATTTTTGCAATTTCCTGGCTTTGCTACAGGGCTGTGGGATTGGTGTTAGTTTGGTGTTCCATAGCTGAACAAACACCCAATTAGTCACGGATACTGAGTCTCTAGCCACTTGGCACAGGCTATCTTTTCATTGTTACTATTTATTTGCGCAGTTTCTCAAACCTACCCTCATCTGCCATTCTGTTTTGCTGATCTGCCCAGCTGTCCCTCAGCCCTCATTATCTGGATCTGACTTTTGCTTTCGTGTCTGGGCACACACAACAGAAACTTCACAGTGCTGGGCAGCCAGCATCTTGCTCTTAGTTTGTGTAATGGGAACAATTCCCACTCAGCCTCACCTATCATGATTGGAGTGTGCTTGCTTGTTTGGTGGAGAAAGTCTTGGCTTGTAGAAAGCAAAGAGGAGAAAAGCCTTTCTGTGCCTGATGTAACCTTGGAGAGTTTGGTTGTAAGTCTCCATAGCTAAACATGTACAGGCTTTTTTAAGGCTGCATAGCTTGTCCAAATAGTCATAGGTTTACACAAAAAGAGAAACAGCCCTGCCATTGAGCAATTCTACCTCTTGCTCTCCAAATTTATAATCTCTGCCTCTGCAGTGTGTGAGATGCTGAAGCTGTGTAGGAATTTCAGATGAGCAAACAAGGTATGATCTATTATTTTCCTTGCTTCATGGGCATGATAAATTCTTCCCCCAGTTCTTGCCTTTATAATTGCAAATCACCCTGAGACGGTCATCTGTTATGGAAACTTTCGGCCTGGGTTGTTAATCTGACAACTTCCAAATGCCTGAAACCAGGATCTTGTAGTGGACAGTGCTGGCTGACGGTGACTTTAGGCTGTCCCACCTCTTTCCTTGATTGAACACTCACTGCTGGCATACATTCATCCTGGGAAGTGCCAAGGGCTGGTGTGGCACCCCCACTTGATGCTGCCACAGAGGCCCTGGATGGGCAACTGGATGCTCCAGAACTGCCAATGGGTATCGGTGACCCGACTGCAGAGGGTGGCACAGGCCATCCTGCTGGTACCTGCTGGGCCTCAGCCAGCTGCTCATGGGGTGCCCTGAGGTGTATCTGAGTGCTGGCGATGGAGGGATGCTGGTGGGGCTGATCTGGACAGCCTCGCCGGCTGTCAGCCCGGTGCAGCGGGAGGCGGTGACCTTTCTGTAGGGTCTGCCAACCCGTGTTTTTTCTTTCCCAAATTAGAGTGAAGCACACCAGGAAATTGGGTCAGAGCCAGCTCTGCTGCTGCTGAGTGTTCCAGCCCTGAGGACACTGCAGACCCCATCACCCTATCCCCCTCCAATGGGCTCCCCCATCCTGCCTATGGCCCACAGCCCCATGTCAGCCCCTGGGGACTCAGCTTCTGCCCCAGCAGTGCTGCAGCAGGGCCAGTCTCCACCACCCCACTGCCCTGCCGAGCTGGGCTCACCTGTAGAGCAGAAGGTGATTTGAAGCAACACCAAAACCACAGCACAATGTGTTTATTCCAGCTCTGTGCCTCCTTTTAGGCTGCACTGCTTTCCTGCTCCTCCTTATTGCTGACATAACCTTAGAAACAGCTTAGAGAAGCGTAAGAGCAAAACATCAGGAGCAGGTTTGCCCAGGAACAGGTTGCCCTGAGAAGGTATGGCTGCCCATCCCTGGCAGTGTTTAAGGCCAGGCTGGATGTGGCTTTGATCAGCCTGGTCTAGTGGAAGGTGTCCCTGCCCATGGCAGGGGTTTGGAACTAAATGAGTTTTGAGGTCCTTTCCAGCCCAAACCATTCTAGGATTCTGTGCTTCGCTTTGTGCCTAGTGAGTGTTACCTTCAAGATGAGATGTGGGGCTGAGAAGCTGTGTCCCCCAGGAATGGGAAGGACAAGCTGTCTCCCCCAGATCCCACAGCCCTCCTGGGGCACAGCCTCTCCAGCCTGTCCAGCAGCTGCAGCGTTCTGAATGGGATTTCCACAACCAAGACAAGACTTCCATGGAACACGTATTCCTGGAGATAGATTTACCTTTCTCTCTGTTTTGTCAGCTTAAGGCTGTTTCATGCTAGCTATTTGATTAGAGAAAAGGGAATTGGTGCTGGTTCCTGACATGGCCTAATGCCACTAGCAGCAAATGCCAATTCCTGGTTTCTCTAAGGCAGGAGAAAAGAACGGGGCACCTCCAAGGGGAATCTGGAGCAGGCATGCTGGCTGTGTCCAGCTGAGCTCTTCAGGCAGCTGTACATACCGCGCACCGGTTTGCCTTAATGCAGGCATGCTGCCCCACAGCAACCCATTACTGATCCCCTGAGGAGACCCAGCCGGAGGCACAAACATGATTTTCCTTGAAAGGCCAGTCTGCAGTTAGACCTCGCATGTTTACTCTGTTAGAGTTGTGGCAGTGTGGGCAGGAACGCTTCCCTTAGAACAGAGTCAAAGTTACTCATTTGCAGCTTGAGGTGAGAGGTCTAGGTGCCTTTTCAAGGTTGGTGCTCAGGGGGCTTGCTTTGGTTCGGTTTGTTTTTAATGGAGTCATTAAAATGCTGCTCATGCTGTTTCAACTGAGAAAACTGTCTTGTAGAGAGCATGTGGAAAAGGCTTGCGGTCTATGTGCCAAGACAGGAGCATGCTGTCTGTCAGTCTGTTATCTCGGGCAGCACACGTGGCAGAGTGTGGGACAAGAAGAGCTCAGGCAGGGAGGAGGCACTGTCAGGGGTCTGTGTCAGGAACATGGGGACGTGGGGGGCAGATGTCTGTCTCCAGGCTGTAAGGAAAGGCCACTGCTGTAAAAGCATTTCTAGGAAGTAAATGGTCACTAACCTGGGGACGGTCTCGGGGACAAGGTGCTTGTGACCAAGTGGAAATGCCTGGAGAGCATGGGGGAATACACTATCCTAGTGGAGACTTCCTCATGAGGCTGACAGAGGAGAGGCCATGCACACCGGCGCTTCAGTTTGCCTTCCTTGTGGTTTTCCAAGGGATCAGAGGCAGTTTGTGACTTCTTCCAGCTCCTACAGACTGGACTCATCTCTGAGGTGGCTTTAAATTCTCAAGTGGACCATGGAGCGACCCGTCAACATGTACCTGGCATGATGTCAACAGAGGGAGAAAGCATATGCCTTTACTCCACTTACTCTGATAAATGCCAAAATTCCAGTGCAATTCACAGAACATGGGCAGGAGAGAGGGAAACGACAGCATGCCCAGCCAAGGTTCCCTTTAAATACTGGTGCTTGTTTCTCAGCAAACACACAGCCTGGGATTTTGTTACAAAAAACAAACCCCGGCCAGACCTGCCCGATTTTTCACATTCCAAGTAATTTGTCTGCTTCAATTACTGGAGGAAGTGAAACCCAGTGAAACAAATCTGACGTGTGTGTTTATGAAGGCAGTTCAGCAGAAGATGTTGTTTTCCTGCATTCAGCCTGATGATTGTATTTGCAGTGCTGCCCTTCACCTCAAAGCTAATATCCAGAGATCATGTCTTTTATGCAGCAGATCTTGCCCTGGTGTATTCACGGAATCCCGGTCCCAAGGACTGCTGTATTCAACAGCACTTAGCCTTATAGCACCATCGCCACCGCACACAGGGGTTGAGCTGCTTGCTAAGCCTAATCGGCATGGCAACGTCGTGCATGGGTTACCAAATGCACATGAGCAGATCCACTGGCAGCAGCTGAGGCTATCACTGAAAGCAGATGCCAACAAGTATGCAATGTAGCTTGCTGAATTTTTATGATGGAAAGTGATGAACGAGAAGAGAGAGCCCAGCTTGCCTCTGGAACTCTGGGCTGAGCTTGCAGGTTATCACTTAAAAATAGGCATCCTTTACTCCTGAACTGCTCACTACAAAAGTCCTTGTGTAACCCTGAGCAGAGAATGATGTAATACAGACTGAATTTCAGGCTGAAAACAGTGATTTAAAAGACCCCAGTGCTGCCAGATCCGTTCTTAAAATGAAAGCCTGGTTTTGCCAAGACTTAATGCTGACTCAGGAAACGTGTGCCTTTTTTAATGTAGGACTTCAAATTTTTGCCTTTTTTGCTTTTTCAATCTGTTTTCAAGGTTGGGTTAGAAGGCTGCAGTGGCTGCCTTGTTTTCCAGAGCTCTCCCTTCAAACAAATATACAGTTTAAAAATCAGTTTTAAAGCGTAGCAAACTTGAGTAAAATAATTTAAATAAGGCACTTTTCCCCTCTGTTCTTTCTTGACAGGAAAATAAAATGTCTGTTTCTAGAAAAACCTCATCCAAACAAAAAGAACCCCCAAACCACTCAAACACGCAGAAGAACCCCAGATAACACATCTTCATGTCTTATTTTATGGCTGTGGTGATTTATTCCCAGATATCATCGCGCAGTTTCACAGTGTCATATCTGCAGAAGCAGCTGTGGTGTGAGAAATGCCAAATTCTTGCATCACTAACTTGTGATAAGAGACAACCAATGGGAGGTCAATGCTGATACTGTAACCCCTTCTAGGATATTATTGCCTCAGGGTCTGATAATGTTTCATAATGCCAAAACTGGCATTTTTCTTATGTTCCTATAATCTGGTTTTAGCAGCTTGTCTTTAGTCAGCAAAGCTCTTAATGTATATTTAAACAGCTGTAGAATTAGATCTTGAATGGGTAATATTTAATATTCTTAGGACAGCTTGAGAACCTGATCCAGCCTAAACTGCAGTCAGTGCAAGGCTTTTATTGATTTCAGTGGGCTTTGAATCAGACTCCAGAGATCACACTGTTCCCAACTGTTATTACCTCGAATCCATGGTAAAAAGAAATACAGGAGGATGCAGAGATCAGTCAAATCATCGCATGCTGAAGCTCATTTTTCTCAGAGTACTTGCAGATATACAGATGTATATGCCACACCATCCGTGAGATGTTGGCAGAGACCTTTCAGGGCTGTCTCAAGAAATATTTTTCCTTGTCTTTCTGTGTCGGTGGCTTGCTCAAAATCTCTGTTGACAAAGTACAGCAAATTCCTGACAACAGTCTTAAAGAGGCTGGCGTGTAAGTAAAGATGTCTGAGAGAAGCCAAAAGCTATACTCTGATCTCTTTACACATCACATGTTCCGAGAGTGGCACCTTGGCTGCATAAATAATCCCTCTGGTGTCAACTGAGTTTTAGAGTACAGGGGGGGTGGTGAGGGGGAGGTAAGGAGAGAAGTGTCTAGCCCAAAGCTGCAAAAGCCCTGCTGAAATGAAGGGATGGGCGAGAAGGAGGAGGGGGAGGGATTGTTTGCTAAATAGAAAAAGTCAAAATGACCCAACAGGCATAATTCTGAAGCATTTTAGAGGGTCTTATAGGGCACGTGGTTTGCTGACTTCTGTCTCTTCAAATGCAGTTGAGTGTCTTGCTCTGCAGTTCTTCTGTAGCTTCCCTTCAGACTGTTTCTTTTTCTTTCTTTCCTTTGGGCATCTTTTTAGAACTGAGCTCAGGACTTCCCCTTTTTTATGATGAAACCTCTCATCTGAAGAAAATAGAAACGGACAGTGTGAAGGTAGTTGGACCATGGCCAGCCCTGCACGTCAGCATGAACAAGGTATAGCACATACATATATACTTTTACATATATATGCCAGAGAGCCCTGTTGTCACTTCATACTCAAAAGCTGCTGCTTTTTCACCTTCAACTCAAATCAACATTCATCTGCAACTGGCTTGCTTTTTAATCACCTCTCACCATCTCCTGGTTGGATTGGGGTTTGGTTTTTAGATTGAGCATTTCCTTCGCCTTTGCCTTTTAAAATTTCAGAAGCTGCTGCAACAATGTTATTGGTGTAGTTTTAGTTCAGTTGTGAAGAGTTAGTCATCTAGGCAGCCCAGAGGTGTAAAGAAGAAACAACACTTTAAGTGATAGAAAAAAAAAATTGAAAACCTTGTTTTTCTACATGAGGAGCCCATATTATGCTTTAAACACCCCCTGGCATCTGATGGTAGTGGGTGTTTTGTGAGTGAGTTTTTGCAGGGGTGGCAAAACAGCCATGTCCCACTGCCTCTGACAGAGATCAGAGGCCAGCAGGTCAATGGCTCCTTCTAGCCACGTGAGGCAAAACCTACTGTGCCTCTGTTGTGGGGTGTGCCTTGAGCTGAATCTCAATAGAGCCACAGAAGCCTGGACCTTTGGTTTGCAACCACATCAGTCCTGAGCTGGGCCCAGTGAGGTCAATGGGAGCATTGCCTCTGGCTTTAAATGAGGTGGGTTTGGGCCCCCAGTGAGTGTACAGATCTGTTGAAAGAAATGTGTTGAGTTTTCTGTCAGTTCAAGGGAGAACTCGGGTTACTTTGCCTTGGTTTTACAAAGAGCCATTTGTTATTGATATTATTTCAATGAGCATTAGGTAACTAAAAATCAAATAGGATGCAGAAAAGTGTATCAAAAATACATACACAAAGGGACTGTGTATCTATATAGCGTATTCTTTCTTTCCCTGGATGAGAGAACCCAGGAGATGGAAGTCAAGGCTGAAAATCAGTGAGTCAGGTGTTTCTAATAAAAAACCCCAAATCTTGACTTTTTTTTTTTCAACATTTTAGTTAATTGAAGTTAATCAGTAATGTAGATTTTCTGTCATGAACATTTGCTTGAAGAACCATGTTCAGGATTGTCAGGGGGTGGTAGTGTACTTCAGCTGCGGTCCTTATACCTTATGAATGTGGTCATGAGACAATGACCTATGTCATGACTTTTGGAGACTTCTGAATTAACAGATGAAGATGGAATACTTCAGACATTGTCCAAAATCTGTTTGCTTATCAGCTATGAGGAGCTGTCATTTTGTCCGACTGGTTGGTCTGAGTGGGGATAAAAGCTAAATCAGAAAGTAGACAAACTGAGGTGAAATGGAAGAGAAGCCATCAGTTTCCCATGGTCATTTCTCAGGTTGTTCGTCTCGAAATACTCTTATCCGGTAATAGGTACAGGTTTCTATAGGCCGAGCTAATTAAGCATTGACATAGTTTGCCAAAGGAAAATTCTCCATCTCACAGACTCATCCAGTGAATATCCAGGTCTTACGAGAGGAACACTGTAGTTCAGTTGTAATTACTGATACTCTATCTGAACCCCAGCTGAGAGCATTCACTTAGGTGCAGTGCCCAAAACATGCTTTAAAGGACAGCCCTACACTATTGAGCTTCTTGACAGCTCAGTTTGGTGTATAGAAAGGGCTGAGGTGAAGTGAGAGGTCTCTCTCCATGTTGACCACAGTGCACAAGTGGTTAAACCAGTCTGACCTGCGTTGCACAAAAGATCTGAACAGGTGATCTCAGTGGTACCCTTGTGATCTCATAATGAGTAGATTTATGGTCTCTTTTTTCTGTAAATGAAAGCTTAAAACTCTTTGGTCCTGTATTCCACACCACTATGCAAGTAGTACCAATAGAGCCCCTGTGACTTCTGACTGGCAAAGCCTGACCTCTGATCCTCTCACACTCCTCTGAAAATCTGTAGAGGGAGAGCTCAGCTCTTCTATAATTAATGGTTTTCTTTGGCTTGTCCTGACAGCTCCAGAATCTTGTCCACAATCAACTAGACTATTTATATAAGGACTAATTAGCAGAACCCAGTATCGTAGCAAGTCTGTACTTCACAACAAGCGCAGCTGCACGCTAAACACAGCCTGTGTCTGCTGCAGCCATCAGTCAAAGTTTAGCTGGTGGAAAGCTCTTGCAATGAGCACCAGGAGCTGCTAAATGCTTCTGTTTCTGGCAAAAGCTCTGCAGAAGGCAAGTGTAGAGACACAGTCTGTCTGATGAAAAAATCTCTTATGGCAGTCATAGCGGGTTTGGTTTTAAATGCTGGACAGCAATCGCATGGATAGAGGTTACCAAGTGAATGCAAAGGAGGCCGATCTCTCAACATTTATCAAAATTGCCATTTTGAGCCATCTGAAAATTGTATGTGCTCCTGAAACAGGCCCAGAATCTCCACCGGAAAGCACCTCTGCAATAAAGTGCTCACGTCACAGGTTGTGGGTTGTGACCAACAAATCGTTCTCAAGTTCTTTTGGCCCCTTGCTTGTGGTTTCTTCTTCAAGCACCATTCTCTAACCTAGATCCTAGTGAAATGTGGACACAACTCATAAAGCTAAAGCAAACAAACAGCAGAGCTTTGAGCAGAGACTGCATGGAGTTGCCTCAGCAGGTGGCTGCTCCAATGAAAGAGGGAGGTGCTGTAAATATTGGGCTAACCCTGAGCTGAAATGCTGTGGAGCATCACCCAGCACAAAGGTAGTGGGGCAGGTTAAACATGATTGAACAGCTCTGATCTGGGACAAGCATTTTTCACTGGCCTTTGAAGCTCCTTTGGTTACGGTAGTTAACTGGCTACTCAGTCCAGCAGCAAACAGATTTTAATGGGTGGTCTGAGTGTCTAGTTTCTGGCAAAAAAATTAAAGATTACCAGCTCTCCTGCCCCACTCCATTGATTTCTATTCTACTAAGTGCTTTTTATTCTCTAGTTTTACATCTGAAATATTATGCTTACACAAAACCAATGAACCAGTTCCGAAGCTGCTTCATTTGCTCTATTTCTGAAAGTAAAGCAAGGGTTTGCACATCTATTTTGGAGTCCCAACTTTCACTCCCTCTCTTCCTGTTGTTAATTATTATTTTTTTTCAAGCAGAGTGCTTTGGGGCTGGCATTTGTCAGGCTTAATAATCAACCCATAGGAGAATTAGCAAGAAATTGGGTAAATTAGATTCAGCAGTTAATTAATTTGATTGTCTGCTACAGCAAACTTCGTCTCATGGGAATGATGAATAGATGTGTCCAATCTCCTTTCCAGAGCTGTTTGGTACAGTGGACGTGTCTGTCCACCTACTGGATGATAAGCCAGTTTCAACATGCATTTCATATCCTTCGGTTAGCCTTCATCTCCAGGAGAGACAAGCCTAAGTGTTGTAGCTGTGAATGTATTTCTGATTTTCTTTCTTGCAAGCCTTTCATTAGAAACATATGTTCGCCCACCCGCTTTGCTCCATGTGTGTATGCATAGCCACAAATGTATTGTTCGCGTTTCTGAAATATGGGGAGTCTAGTTGTTAGTCCAGATGTAATCATTACATAAAAAGAAAGAATACAGTTCAGATTTTTTCTTCCCATTTTCCTGATGTTGTGCTCACCCTTCTCATGTACCCTTGGGTTCTAAGGTTGGTGATTTCATTCTGGTGAGGTCTCAGGGTATTATGATGGTCACAGAATCATAAAATCATTTAGGTTGGAAAAGACCTTTAAGGTCATAAAGTCCAACCATTAATCTAGCACTGCCAAATTCACCACTAAACCATATCCCTAAGTGCCATGTTTAAAATACCTTCAGGGAAGGTGACTCAACAACTACTTCCCTGAGCAGCTGGTTCCAGTGTTCCATCAAGTCATCTTCACTGTTTCTTCTTCACTCTAGGATCCACTTTGGGTCCTTTTGTGTGTTTGCAAACATGCTTTTACACCTTCTTTCTTGAATGTAGGCATTCAAGGCCATGCTGGATATGGTTCTGGGCAACCTGATCTAGCTGAAGATGTCCCTGCTCATTACAGGAGGGTTGCAATTGCATTTGATGGTCCCTTCCAACCCAGACTATCCTATGATTCTATGATTCTTCATCGATCTGCATCTTCATATTGCACCCAAACACATTATACATTGTGGCTTTTACATAATTATACTATGTCTTTGCTCTCTTCATTGCCTCTAAAACCAGTTTTGTCCAGGTTCAGGTCTGCACTTCTCTAACTGGCCATTGGCAAGTTGTTTACTGCTGTGGGGTCTTCAGTGCCAGCCTGCACCCCTTGTGCTATCACCCCATGCCCGCACTCCTCTACACCACCTCCTGTGTCTCCACCTCTTAAAACCCATGTTATACTAGCTTTGTGTAGCTTTATACTACATCGTGTTACAGTTATATATATTTATTCTACAAAAAATAACTGCTTGACTTACTGTTTTCTATATAAAATTATTGCTGTTACAGCTAACACTAGTAAAACAAAGCTGCAGGCAGATCAGGAAAGGTTCAGAGTGAGCCTGATGAGCCTCAATGACTCCAAGCTCTGTTCAAAGCTTACGGCCTTTTGTTGGCATGGTAGTAACATGTTACAGGGCTACCCAGTTACGTTACTGACAGCTTGCAAATGAAACCACTTTCAAGAAAGCTGTGGAACTACATGCCCCATGCACACCTGCAAAGCCTAAAGCTGCTGCAGCTCCAAAAATCATCTGTGGTTTAAAAAAAACCAACACAAAACCAATCACTTTGTTTGTATATTTGAGACTCTTTCATGCGATATGCTGATCAGAGGGTATACCCTGGGAAACATGGCTACCATGACTGAGTAAGGCTATCATGAAGCTTTGCACTGACAGATGCAGGATCTAATAACACTGAGCAATAGCGTTTTATAAAATAAATTTGATACCAGGCATTAAAGAGGTTTGCTGCAAGGATAGAAGCATAGCAAGATTTATTGGGAGTTATATCATTCATTAGACCAACTGATAGTTGACCAGAGGAAGGTCTTGTGTGTCTGACAGCTTAACGAGGGGTTCTTTTACTTGTTGGTTTATTGCCAAATGTATTTTTCTAATAAAAGATGCAGCTTCTGCTTGCACACTTTGCCTCAAATAAGAATAACACAATCATATGGGCCTTGCCATTGTGATGTCTGTTCATAATTTGTGTTAGCTATTGCATGGGGAAAGAAAAAAATCAATAAAGTTACTGATGGAAAAGGGGCAAAGGAGTCTGTAGATTTTCATGCACATTTGCAGATGCAGTTGCATCCCAGGAGACCAAAGGGTTAGACCTCACAGAGCTAATGTGCATTCAGAACCTATACATCTGGGTTGTCTTCATTAAAATTTTACCTCTACTAGTAGTGATGACTAACAACAAAGAATAGGTGGACATTCCTAAACAAAGTATCGATTCTATTCTTCAGGTGTCTCCAGCTAAATGTGTATTCTACACATACTGTTTGACTGAGAAGAGACTATTGATAAATTCACAGAGGCAAAACATCATGCATCTTGCTCTTGGTATAAAGTGTGATGTGGAACAAAGCATGAATCTTTTAAAGCAGAGAGAATTGAAATGTTAAGTACAGGAGTAGTTTTGCTGTGTTTCTTGCAACTATTTTTATATTCTGTATGTGTACTTAATATTCAGTTAGCTTTGCAAACCAAAGCCAGTGTCATCATTATCTAAGACTCTACAAATCTGCCTTCTGTTCTCGTATCAGCAGATGTAATTGAATTTAAAGTAAATGTTTGAGAGGAGAAGAGCAAACCTAAGACCTCAATTATAGAAAGAAAAAAAGACATCTACTTTCATGCATGTATATATCTGAGCTTGTTCAAACCACTTCTATCAAACCCAGTTAAGTGCAATTCTTCAGTGTTCTCCTTCTCTGGAAGAATAAAGTTCTCCATCAGTGGTGAAAGTGATGTGAATACATTGCTATTTTTTAGCAACAGCAGAAGTGTAGATGGAAAATCAAAATGTTATCAAATATCTTAACTTAATGGGTTTTTCTGCATTTTTAAACCTTTTCAGATGGGTATAGATTGCAATTTTAAGCAAGAAGATGACTTCTTTTCGTTTGACTCTCAGACATTCACTTGAAAGGAACATCTCAGATTCTTTGGAATTGCATAATAAGAAACGATATAATTGGAAGTTTCAATAATATTATGCCATGTTTAGTTTTCTAATGACTTCCACTAATGACTAAGAATGCTCTTAGTTTATAAATGAAAATGAAATTTTAATAACTGCAAACCTGGTACAGAATTTGAATACCCAGCTGCTATCCTTATGCTTCACTTATCACTGCAAGCAATAAGGATTCTGGAAATATAAGATCTCTTTATTATACAATAAATAAAGTAGATTACAGCTTTCATTCTTGCAGGATTAGTATCTAGAATTTCCTAATGCAGGTAGGGTTTAGATCTTTGATTTTCTTATAAACTAGTGAAACGAGCCATAGAAGGTGATGTATGGTTTTTCTTTTGCCTTCTTGATTGAAGTTATACTTGAGGAGTTAAACCTGGGGATGAACAGAATTCTATGTAAAGATTAGTGGCATTAAGGACAATAGGAACTGATATAGATGCTTACAAGTACTGATAGTCTGCAGTACAAAGATGCTACTTTCTTCTTTTTGTAGTCTGTGATTTGAGTTTTCACTTTCAGTTTGGATTTTCATTGCCACTGACTGTATTACACACTGTATGTCTAATTACACATATTACGCACTGTATGTGTACTAGTCTCAGCTAATCAGCTATATGAAAGCAGAATTCAGTAATGATTCAGGATGTGCTGCACTGTGGCAGAAAAGTGTCCCTGCCAAGGCAGGCTGGCAAAGAAGCCTTTCACAGATGTTTAGAAGCTAAAGGAGGTCTGGATCCCCCATATGGGGCTTGTGTGCAGTCAGCATTTTCACTGAGGCAAGGAAGGTGGTGGCCTTCAGCTGCTGGATCAGCATCTGGTGAACAGGACGAGGCCAAGGAGTGGTTGCGGCAGTGTCTGTTCTTCATGTGTGATCAGTCACTAAAGATGCTACTGGTCCTCGTGGGCTGCAAGCAAAGCAAATTTTGCTTGCTTGAAGGTAAAACCTTCAAAGTGTGACCCAAACAAGAGCTAAAGCAGACCTGAATGGCCAGGAATGGCTTCTAAGAAGTCTGCAACCACTAGCAGCAGCAGCAGCAGCTTTCCCTTCTCAGCCAGGTCAGTGAACATCATTGTTTGGACATCTCAAGTTCTGAGAATCTCAGCTGGAGACTTGCACATCAGATCCCACCCTGGGGACAGTCTCTATTACATGGACTCATCTGGTATAATCCTGAATACAGCAGGACATTGAGACCTTTTGAGGACATTGAGACCTGTTGCAGGGCACACACAAGGGCTTTTATCTTGCTCTTGGTCAATGTGGGGAAGTTAGTCAGGGAACTGAAAATATCCATATCCATCTGAATAACAGATGTATGGGACTTTGGAACTTTGTGTTACACAACAAGCTTGTGTCCTAAACAAGCACCGGTTGTCTTGATTTAGCTGGTAAAATACAGTTTGCTTAATCTTGCTTGACTGAAATTATATTTAATTAGCATCCAGTGTAAAACAAAGGTGAAATTTTGCAATGGCCTTTTGAAATGCCACTGCTTAGTATGTTGTTCTTTGTGGTGTTAAAAATCAATGCGCTTAAAAGTCGACAATAATAGCAGCCCTTTGAAAGTATGTAATAGTACACTGTGGCTACCAAGACTACCGGTGAAGGAAAAGTTGTGCTCTTTACAGTCAATTTTGTCCTTCTGAGTATCTCCACTTCTCAGCTTCATGAGTACTGCAGAAAAGACACTTATGGCAAACAAATATTTCATGTTGGGTTTTTTTTATATGCTTGCCAGAACTACAATTACATTCAAGACTGAATAGATGGCTACAGTTCCATGAGTTGCTCCAGCTAGATGCTGTCACTTTTAAAGTATTTTCTTCTTCACTTAGGAGAAAGGTGGGGAGAATGAAAAGTCCCAAAATATCTCCCACTAAAACTGGTAAAAGTAGCTCAGCAAATAAATATGTAAAAATTGTTAGGAATTTGCTAGAGAAAAAAAAATCCCATGATGAGCAGGCCTTTAACAGTTGTTTGGTTGCTCAAAATCATACCTGCCAGCTGTGGCATTTTGGATACAGAAGTCTGCTAGGCCAACTTTGCTTACATGTGAGAAATACCTTGCAGTCTCAATAGAGCTCCGCAGAGGTCTGGCTCTTTCCCTCCCCAGTGTTTGCAGGTTTTGAAATTAAAGGGCCAATCCTATGGTAATTTCAGTGGCTAAAAAATGACCAGGTCTGTCTTGAAATACTTTGTCAGAGGTGAACCTCAGGGATGTGCTGGCCCTGGTTTACTGATGCCTTATACCCATTTTGTACAAAATCTGAATGACAGCATTACATATCTATTTTATCTGGGTGTATACGACCACTCAATCTTTGCAGCAATCAGAGTGGAAAATGAATGCATAATCTAGGCTGCTACTTGGTTGTAATCCACGTCTCGCTTCCAGGAAGAATAGGGAAGTTTGCAATGGCTGCTATGCCATTGCCCAATCCTCCTTAAAAAATATATGATATTGCAGTTTGATTAAGAGTTCACATTTACAATCCTGATCTCATTCATACCCAGTTTGTTTATATATTGGTCTTACATTGTCCTTTTTTTTTTCCCCTTTATTTTTGTGTTCTTTTTTTCTGCATGGGAAGTTTATTCATGCTGACATTGCTGCTGGATGTAGTTTGTTGTAGGCACAAAACCTTTAAGTCATGTTTGAACAGGTCACTAAACCAGCCATCCTGAGGGCTTAGATTTCTGATCTGGATCACTGCATATGTAAAGGGTTGACATCAAGTGGAAACAGCAGCAACAGTGTTTAAATTCCCTGGATTTTTCTTTTCTTTCTGATGAAGGAGATTTTGCTTGGCTTGCAATTACATGGAGATCCCTTCAGATCCCTCTGGTTAAATTTGCAAAGCCCCTTCACATTCTTAGGGTAGTATAACAAACCAGCGTTCACTAGAGTTGGGTGTTGTGAACCTCTCCTTCTTCTGCCTGCTGTGGGATATTTTGAGACAGTGTTTTGCTTCCTCAGTGTCATCACAGGTTTGGAGAACTAGTACCTGGCTGGGCTTTTTCCATGTATCTGCACATCTCTTTCTTGCTTTTATTGCTCAGGCTTCCCCGAGGCTTTTCATGTCTTGAAAATAATATAAAGTCATTAAATATTTTCAAAACATTTTCTTCTAAGACATATCCGGGTATGAACACAGAAGTTTTAACCAGCATTGCTGAATCAAGTTGTTACAAGTAAAAAATCTGACCTTTGACCATTTTCTTATCTCTCGATTATATGTCACTGTGCTTGTCTTTTATATTAAATACAGGGCGAAGACAAGAAAGTACCTGAAAAGACTCTTCATGCCCCTGTTTCACCTTCATCTGTACCTGACCATATGAAGTGCAACATCCTTAAAGCTCAAGTGGAAGCTGCTTTTAGAGTAGGCACCCAGGTAATCTGTGTTATGTTTTTCCTTTCTAGTTTTGGCATAGCTTACGCTAGTTTTCCAAAATCACGTAATTCCTGAGGAAGCACCTTATTTTATCTCAAGTATCCACATTGACCTAGCTCTCTCTAGCTGCTTTTTCAGTTTCTTCAGGGCACTCAAAATGATTGATATGATGGAAGTAGGAAATTTGTCCTAGCTGACATGATTAACACGGTTGAGAGAGGCTGAGAAAATAGGAGAGAAGGCCCCAGGAAATCTCCATGTTTTGATTTTGTCACTGTAGCTTTTATTTACTCTGTATCTGAGAAACAGTAATCTCCGGAGTTTTCTGAGGCTACCCACCACTCATGGAACCTGTGGTTAAGGGTGTTCTAAAGATAGTATCTGTGCATCCAGATGCAACCTTTATTTTAGGGGATTAATTTTAGCTGTCTGAATGTGAAATGTTAGCTAGTCTATTCTTTTCCTACTTGGTTTTGTGCATTTGACTGAATTTTAGGCTGCTATTTTCAGTATTTGGTCAGAGGTTACATCAAATACATCCTGTTTCAAAAACACCACTAGTCTTGTAATGATGTCATGCAGCTTAAAATTGATGCTAGATGGCATGACTGTAAAAAGTTAATTTTCAAACCAGAGGTAAATCCAAGTGAAACCTAAAATATATGATTCTTTTCAAGTGTTATTTGTGGACAAAAGATAATGCCATTGGTGCCAAAAATAAAGCCAAATAGAATGCTTTAGGAACAAAAGGAGAAGTAGAAAGACTGGTATAACTCCTATTCAAAGTTCCTGTCATATCCTTGTGCATGCTATTCTCCTTGAATGCAAACTGTGTTGGTATTTCCATCGCTTTGTTTCTTTTCATAACAACAGAACAGGTCAACTTGCCCTGCAAAGGATTTTGTTAACAATCATCTTTGTGTATTTGTTGTTCCCTAGCAGATCTTTCATCTGAGAGCCAGATTACATCTGGTCTAGCTAGACCTAGGGAAGTATCAAAATTTGTTATCCTGACTGCCCTAGATTTCAAGAGCAGAAACCATAAATCTGACAGCATGTGGGGGAAGAAAGTTGGGGTTTTTCTTTCAGTTTTTCCTTAAAGCAGTTCTCTCACCTCTCTGAATTCTGTGTTATTTCAACTGTGGTTTATGCAGCATGTTTGCCCTTGGGTTTGCCCTCTTTTTTTTCCTGTGTGTCTTTTCTACAGGATGTCATGGTATATTTCTCACATTTGTATTTTCTACTGAATATGCTTAATGGTCATGTTTGACTGGATAGTTAAAGACTGGAAGCAGTGTGTGCTGCTGCATTCAGAATACAGCATTACTAAGGCAAGATAGGAACTGTGCTTAACGTATGCATCTCTCAGTTCACCTGCCTGCCATGGCAGGGGGGTTGGAACTAGATGATCTAAAGGTCCTTTCCAACCCTAATCATTCTATGATTCTATAATTTTACACTCTGAGGCTTTCCAAGGGAGAAAATCTTGGGTTGCTTTTTCATGCATGCTGTAACTGTATTCTTTAGCTGCTGCTCTGTTGTAAATAAATTTCAGAGCAAGCTGAACTTACCTTTTTTCCATTTTACCTGTATTTTTTTGCACAAGGCTTTAGCAGTCAGATTGGATTGAGTAGGTGTCTGTAGGATTGGCATTAATGAGAAAAGTCCTATGAATTCAGGGTGAAGGAGGGGGGAAAAAAGACTGTTGCAGGGTAGCATGTACTGTGGAAAAATAATGGCATACGGTTCAGTTTGAAATCCCTGAAGCTTTCAGTGCTATAACAAAGTATGGCTTAAGAGTTACAGCCAGTAAATAAGGATGCCACCTTAATCTTGGAAATCCTCATTCAGCTCCCTGCTTAGACACAAAATTGCCTGTGCACTTAGAGATGAGTTCTTCTGTGCTTGAGCTCCCCTCCTGTCAGCTATGAGATTACCCATTGCAAAAATAAGTAGACAAAAACCAGGCAATGGTCAGCCATTACCATAAAAAGCTGTGGCTACACAAGCACTGGTAAGGGTAGACGAAATATTCATGATGAAGGAATGAGTAGAAATACACCATCTGTCATCTAGTATATGGGAGGAGAGAAAGGGGCTACAGGAGGCCCTAATAAACCACTGTACCAGCATACTATAAAATCACACCCCCCAAACCCCCAAACATCAACTCAAACTAGCTGAATACCAGTAGCTAAGCCATTTCCCAGTGGAAATTCAGTCTCTTCTGGGAAAAGCAAGCTGGGATGGCATTACACTGCCCAGAGACACAGCATCCTTTGAGGGAGCAGATAAGAAATAGTTGCTTTGTTGAAGACAGCCATTTAACTCCATGTATTCTTCCAGGGCTGTGATCCTGCCCCTCTTTGACCCTATCTGACATACCCTGCTGCCCGATATATCTGGAGGTCTAACTGTGCTATCCTCTGCCCAATTCTATCCTTTGATGCCAGTTCCATATTAAATTCCAGAGAAGTCCTGCCTCTGGCCTTATTCTTAAGACTCCAATTTCTCATTTCTCATTTTCTGTACTGTTACATTTCAACTTACAAGGCAGCCAGGACAAGAAGCATATCTATGTTCTGTAAGGCACAGCCTATATTCCTTGAGCGGTAAAGCAAGACAGACTGATTTTCCTCATGTACAGCATATATCTTCCTTTATTTCAGGGTATCACAAAAAAAGATGGGGATTTGCTCCTCTTTGTTTTGTAAAGGAAGAAGAAAGAACCACATCTGTCTTATGCATGCACTATTTGAAATTAAATTTTCTTTTAAAGGCCCCCAAAATCTATGGTCTAAGTTATCATTTATAAAACTTCATGGAGCATCTTCATTATACAGCTGGGTGTAAAAGCATGAGAAAAATACTGGTGCACTGTAGAATCGCATCCAAAATTAACAAACTATTGCTTGAAATGTTTGTAACAGCTCTCTATTCCTAAGCAGTAGGAATATTTTCAATACCATATGCTACTAACATCAGGATGTGACAAATTTATGAAGGCACCTCCTGCGTGTAGTAGAAGAAGAAGCTGTTCCTCATTAATTCTGAGAATGGAGTGAACGTTTGCAAGTGAAAAATACAAACTGGGACAGAAATTTTCTGTAGCTTTATCTTTATGGCAGCTAGACACCAACACAAGAGAGAGCTACAGAAATGAATGATTCCAGTACTTATGAGTTAAAAAGTAAAAACAGGGGAAATTATGCAATACTGTTGAAAATATATTCTGGAAGATAGTCTCTGCACTGCTTCATTTCAGAATTAAGCTGAAGAGCTTTTTATTGCGTTCCTAGGGGGCAATACACCATCTCCCATGACTATAGCCCTGATTTAGAGACTGAAAATTTGTAAGTTTATGGTGCTGATCACTGAGCCCTGCATGTGGTTGAGAGTTATAGAGCAGCAGGAAACTAACATGAGTGAGTTTGTTTATTTGGTGAAGATGGAAATATTTATGTGCCGTTCTGCTAGATGGAGAATCAAACTCCAGTGTGCATGGGGGTGCTGGAAGCTGAATCCAGGAGCACGCTGCCACAGATACCAGAGGTGAGAAACATGAAGAACCCGTACAGAACTGTGGGAACCTGTGGTTTGCACAGGGCATGCCATACAATTCCTGTAGGCCTGGAGCAAACAAGTAGTGTTTCACCACACACCTTTCAAACTGTGCCAGAGGGATCTGCCACCTTCTAGCTGACAGACTGCGTATCACAGTTCCCACATAATTAAGCTCCAGGGGAGCACTAAACACTGGGAAGCAACTGACATCTTTTCTTCTTTTTTTTTTTTTTTTTAATTCTTTTCTCTTTCTTTCTTTTCTTTCTTTTTTTTTTTTTTTGCATTTATTCCAGACTCTTCATTTGAGAGGGAGTGGTATAAAGCAGCAGTGAGGAACTGACAGAATACAAAAGACCAGCTCTGCCTGGCATTTAAAACCCTTTGCAGCTTGCATGAGTCAGTGCTGATATGCTGTGATTGAGCAAACAACTTGTTAGTATCACAAAGAGTCCTTTTTGCCAAACAGTTCATGGTCCAACTGATGGAGAAGAGATGCTAGCAGGTTTTGGTTGCTATTTATATCCACTTTGGCTAGGGCAGATTCTAATTATCTTTAGAATTAAACACAGGCTCCTGAGCAAATGCACAGATATCTCGGCAGGGCAGTGTGTGCTGTGTTCTAGAAGTTTGTCTTCTGTAAAGTGGTGTTTGTGCTCTCCACCTGTTACCAAAAATTTCTTTGGATTAATTTAAGTTTGGCAGGTTACCACAGGCAAGAAACCAAGATCCTGTTTATCACAGATTTCTTCTGTAGCTGATTTTTGCACTACTCATATCTTTCTCTGCAGACAAGGGAAGGCCAAGCTCATTTTAAGATACCTTTCTGCAGTGTGGTTTATGGAAGACAAATAGAGGTAACATTACCACCCGAGCTGTTCCTTGCTGCACGTTATGGGTGGTTAAAGGTAGTTTGGAGATCTGGAGTTATTTACAAAGAGCATACAACTTTATCAACCCCAAGGGAAACTCTTGGGTATCTTCTATCAGCCAGGCTTGGGTTCTTGAGCAGTTGATTCCTCTGCCTTGATTCTGCGTAAACAAAGGGACATTTATGCTGAACAAAGGAACGTTCTTCACAGGCTTATACACATGCAAATTTTTAGGCCAGTTAGATAGCCATCTCTCTTTTTTTCCTCCCTGTCCTAGAAACAAGGACAGATCATGATCATGTCATTTTGCTTCACGTATTGCAAATACGTAAGTGCAAGGTGCTTATGCTGTCAGGATTTACCTCGAGGAAAGGACTGCACTGTGGTACAGCAAATGTCTCAGGACATGCACAGGTAGAGGTGTCATCCTGCCGCCTGTGCTCTCAATGGGGATGCAAGCCATGGCTGCAAATGCAAATGAGACTGGGATCTAATCATTATTTATGGTAGAAAGGGTGCATAAGTGAGGTGAGTCACAGTGCTGGTCTGTCTTATCTGCATTTTTCATGATTCTTTGCCTTTTTCATTGTGCTGTCTCCTTTAAGGAGAAATTCAAGTGTGAGGACTTGTCAACTTCAAAGTCCAGGTGCTTTTGTCATATCACCTTAGATGAGCTGGGTCTTTGGAGCTTTATTCAGTTACGGGCGGGGATCTGGATTCGAACCTCAATCAGGTCATGAATGAAAATAGAGTAGGTGAGGTGAAGGCACTTGAGGATTTATAATCTTATGCCATCTTTCTTATAATAGGACTTAAACAAATCCTTCTGGATGCCCAGAGGAATTCTTAGCTTTCAGTAGATGTTGGCTTAAACACCTTGACAGGATCAGTTTTTTCCGACATTTGAACATCTTTCCATCATGAATTAGATGCTGTTTGCTTCCCTCTCCTTCTCCTTTCCTCCCTCCCTCCACCCGTGCTTATTCACAGCACTGAGCTACTGCACAATTTGACAGTCTTTGCACAGAGATCAGAATTACGTGAGTATAACAGGTCACAGCTGAGGTGTTCAGGTTGTGGGCGAAGCTTGCACAGCTCCTTATGTACATGATGCCTTCCTTGCTAAAGCTGTTGCTGTTAGTCACCCACTTGGATGAGCAATAAACTCACTGGCGAATTTCAGGCTAAGTAAAAAGAAGCAACTGCGCTGGAACTCTCAACTGGAACAGCAGCATCACTTATAATTGCTCATAACAATGGAATCTGAAAATGGCTCAGCTTCGAATTCTCTGTGTTCAGAGGGGAAACAAGTTTTCTGTGAGGCTACAGGAAATGAAGGGTGTCAGATGTATAAAACCACAAGATTTTGAATGTGCGCGATCAATATACAATACATGGCAGCTCATTAGAAGCGTGTCAGCAAGGATACCTTAGACTCAGGCAAGGAGCTGAGGAGATGATGTAGCAGTCTTCCTGAGGTACAGAAGGGGAGGGAGGATTTTGATAAACAGAATGTGGGAAAAGGGAAATCTTTAATTTATTCCCCAGGATACTGGAGGCAAATGTGGCAGTGGTGTCCCAAGACTGTGACAGTGCATTGTGGATATGTCAGCTATGTCTGCTAGCTGGCATGTCTGTAAGTGCTAGTACATGATAAGACAAGTACTGTTAATTGCAGTGATGTATAGGAGCCCCGCCACAGCCCAGGAGACACATGGTGCCAGGCCCTGTTCAGGAGAAAAACAGAGTAGTCTGTTTCCAAGAGACTTAACCATGATGCTTTTCTGCCTGAAAGGATACATTTGACATATTAAATCACCAAGGTAGGTTTATCTTGGCAGGGCGTTCTTCCTGATGATGTGTTGCTTAGCCTGTATTATCTAATGGGATCAGCCAACAATCTGCTTGGCTGACAAATGACCAAAACATTGGTGAAGAGCTGAAAAATCTGGTGTGCTTCAGGCCTCCTTAGCATCCAGAAACCACCAGGATAGAGAAGTATTTAGAGGCCACTGCGGTGAGAGCCATTGCTCCCTTACCTTTAAAGATCTCCAAACAGGGACTGTAGCAACAGGACAAGGGGTAATGGGTTCAAACAGGGGAAGTTCAGGTTAGATTTAATGTGAGGGTCATGAGGCACTGGAACAGGTTGCCCAAAGATATGGTGAATGGTCCATCCCTGGCAGTGTTCAAGGCCAGGTTGGACAGGCAAATCCAGCCAACAGGGCTTATGAATTCATGCATGGAGTTTCTCCTACAGGCTAGAAAGTGTTCCCACCCCTGCTGGAAAGCTCAGCAGGGTCTGATGCAGGGTCCCTGGAGCATCCATCTGCTTTCTAAGGCTCCAAAGGACAAGGCTGCCAGGAAAGCAGCCAGGGGGGTTATGGGTGCTTAGGACAAGCAGGCTGAAAACTATCAGGATAAGCCTGGCAGCCCAAAGGTAGGTCTCTTAGGCAGCTCTGGATACAATTTGGTATTAAGTGCTTTTCTCCTCTTTTCATCTTTTGGTGAAACTACTGTTTTTTAGCAATCATCTATGAAGAGAGCCTGTGCAATGACATTTCTGTCCAGGCATGTTTCTTGTCTCTACTATGATAAAGTAATGCTTTACCTTTGTTTCTGACACCATCCAGAAAGTTAATGGCATATGAAATCAGAATGTTAATAATTTTTCTTCTGCTCTGAGCCCAGTGCAGATAAGAAAAGAGAATGATATTGTGTGGATGGATTATATGGATCAACCTTTAATTTTGTTTGGCTTGCAATCTGGTATCCAGCTTGTTTCTCTTTGGGTAATTATTAAATGAATTTGCTTCTGTATAAATGAAGTTTCCAGGTCTGCTATGCCCTCAAATATCTCCCTCTCAGAGCAGCATCCTCTGGGTGAAGGAAGAATCTGCTTTAGGTAAGGAGATCTGAACAGCTCCATGGTTTTGCCTATGTCCTTACACGGCTTATTGCTGGGCTTTCTGTGGGTGACAGAGCCTCTGCCCAGCTCTCCATGTACATTCCCCACCAAATATCTCCTGCTAGCCTTGGCTAAACTCCCCTGTGTCACTGATGGAGGGCATCCTGCAGTAGAAACTGAAATCCTGGCCCTAGCATGTGTGCTTTTTTTCAACTGAAGGCAAACCATCTGGGAATCATATTGTGAGAGCTGTGTACAGGTGTAACTCTTGGTTTACAGTCACATAGAATCATAGAATGGTTTGGGTTGGAAAGGACCTTAAGATCATCCAGTTTCAACCCCCCTGCCATGGGCAGGGAGGCCACACACTAAACCAGCCTAAGGCTCTGTCCAGCCTGTCCTTGAACATCACCAGGGATGGAGCATTCACAACTTCTTTGGGCAGCCTGTTCCAGCGCTTCACTGCCCTCACAGTAAAGAATTTCTTCCTTATGTCTAAGCTGTTTCCATTTAAACCCGTTGCCCCTTGTCCTATTGCCACAGTCCCTCATGAAGAGTCCCTTCCCAGCATCCTTGTAGCCACCCTTCAGATACTGGAAGGCTGCTATGAGGTCTCCATGCAGCCTTCTCTTCTCCAGGCTGAACAGCCCCAACTTCCTCAGCCTGTCTTCATACGGGAGGTGCTCCAGTCCCCTGATCATCCTTGTGGCCCTTCTCTGAACTTGTTCCAACAGTTCCATGTTCTTTTTATGCTGAGGACACCAGAACTGCACACAATACTCCAAGTGAGGTCTCACAAGAGCAGAGTAGAGGGGCAGGATCACATCCTTCAACCTGCTGGTCGCGTTCCTTTTGATGCAGCCCAGGATACATCTTTTCAGTAAGGCTGAGGAAGTCCTTGTATAGTTAGTGAATGTGATTTACAGGGTTAGGAGGAAAACAAAAGAAACATGTTATCACCTGATGATTTACTGACCTCCTTCTGAAAACAAACCAAAAGCCAGCAAGTACAGTTCCTGATAGATGAAGCCCTTTGCAGAAGCATTTGCAGGTACATTTTCCTGTGTCTGTTCATTCATAGACATGGAGGAGAGGCATAGGGTGAAGAGAATTAGCGAATCCTTATTAACATGTATCTGCCAATGCACAGCTGTGTCACCTGGTGTACACACCTCATCATCAGAGGCTGTTCAGGCCACTCCATTTTTTTGCATGGTCTCTCTCTCCCTTTAGTTTAGAGTTGGATTGCTCATTCACTAATGTGCACCACTTACTTGTGTGTACAGGAGTCTTTCATGTTGTCTAAAGCATGAATAATAATGGAGAAAATTAATACTAAGAGAAGTTCATGAGGATGCTGATCATGCCGTTTACATGCCGAATACGCCACTACTTGAGATGCAGGCTTAGACTTTCAATGCAGAGAAGGAAAAAGAGAATGGTAATGTAGTCATGGACCTGAAAGAAAACAAGGGTCAGCTATTAGGGACTAATAAATCAAAGACCTCTCTATTGGCTAATAAGGTCCATGGCTTATAGTGTTTAAGTAGGTTGAATTCTAATAATTTCATTCCTGGTCACAGCTGCTGCACTGCATCCTTGATCTCCATATTCTTTCTTCTATTGTTGTGTTCAAGTACATCTTAAAATGCAGCTCAATTAATTCGGTGAAAATTGGAATAAAGTAAAATTCATGGTATTAAAAAGTAGCCCATTTGACACATAGTAAGCAGCTAGCTTGTCAGGCTTAACAATAAAATATTGTTAAGACATCAGTGTGGAAGAAGAGACTGCGTATTAAGTTTCTGACAGCCAGATTCATGTTTACAGCTTTCAGAAACCCAGCAGCTTTATAGAAAGCATTATAATTTCTGTAGAACAAAGGAAGATTACTTCAGTGCTCATCTATGCCAACAAAGAATGATTTTCTATGCTTTCTCTCAATTCCATAAAACCCATTTTTCCTTTCAAGAAAGCACTCGATTTGGAATAAACAAAATGCTAGACAAAGCTACTAGAGCAGAGCTAAATTTCTTAAAGTTATTAATTTATTAACATTTGAAAAATCGCAGTCCTGGTCCTGAAATTATTAATGGTGTGATGCTAATTCACTGATAACCTTAGCTGCAAAACATTTGGTGGCTGAGTTACAATAGTGGTGCTGGTGTGATTATGTCCACTTTTGTCTGAATCATTAATACATTTGCCTAGGACTAGGGAAACCTCTGGCTGATGGAGATTAAACCCAGATATATAAAAGCACACTGTTGGGGTAGAGCTCCCCCAGTGCCTACTGCTGATCCTGTTCTCCTCTAAGCTAGCTCTAAACTAGCTTCCTCTGTGTAAACCAGCTCCCTAGGGGAAGGATAAACCTGCTGGTGAGGTTCAGAGGGTTCGCTCTTTGCTGTTGGTGGTTTTGGCATCAATATATAAGGTGCAACAACTCTAATAGGAAGGGTTATGGAGGGACTTATTTCAAAATGCTCCCTAACCTGTATCTAAAATACATGCCTGGGCTTCAGTAGACCCAAGACAGAGTTCACTCTCTGCTAAGCTCCCAGTGGTTCCAGTTTAATTGCCCATACAGTTAATTATGTGTACAAGCTGTAACATCCTGTTCCCACCGTGGCTGAAGATCTGGTAAATAATGACCTGGGAAGTGGCAATGAGGGTTTTGTTCTCTCTGGCACAAGGGGGAAATGAACCTAAAACTATCACAGCTTGGGAAGTTTTCCCAAGCACTGGGTATTCCTACTGATAATTTGTAGTTCTTTGCTAAGGTATAGGAGAAACTCAGCTTTGATTTTGTTCCTTTTTCTTATAAGCACCCTCAAATGGAATATATCAATGTTTATTGAATGGAAGGTCTCACATCAAATTTACAGTATTTTTACATGCCTGTAAAATCCTTTGACTTGGATTTGATGGATTTGAAGGAACCTGTCTTGTCTTATTTGAAGACGGACTGACACATTTAATTCAATTTGATCTGGACCAATGGACCCAAATTATTACGGTTCAGATATTCAACATTGAAAAATCACTCTGTTGTAGGACCATTTATCAGGATGGAAATGTCAGAGCCTGCCAAATCCATTACTGATTTGGAGATACTCATGTGTCTTCAGACAGTATTTTCTGTAGAGGAGTGCATTGTTGCACTGACACTGGCATTTACACATAGACTGTGGAACCCTGCATCTCAGTTGAAGAGTATAATCTACCAACACCTGCCTTAATTGGGTGTTTTCTGTGTAAACAAGTAATTTTCATGTAAGTCATTTTGCGATACTAGTATTTTCAAATCTATAGACAAATGCTATGTGAGAGACAGGACTCTGTAATTTAGCAGGGAGCAATAATGGGTGAGATTTTCTGTGATTTGTATGTACAGTGTGATTATATGGAGGGGATCCCATTTTTCAATTAATTTTTTTAAGTCTGTATGAAAAGTTGGCATCGTGATTTTGATTGGACTACCTAAATATTTATTCTACTCCAATTAAAAGAACAACTTGACTACAGTATGTTTGCCTGGGCTGATTTTTATTACTTCTGCTCAAATGCTTTCTGGAGGAACCAATGGTTTCTTTCTTCTTTAACCCTATCCAATCTCTTCCTAATACTATTGCTCTGCACATTGTACATTGTAGATCATTGCAGTGAATCTCACAGTGAAAATCAAGTTGAGACGAGTTAAAAAACATTGCTGTGCCTTCTAAAGGTGGGCAGAGTAGTAATTTGGGGTATTGCAGTTTTCTGGGGTGCTTACAGGGGTATATTTTTAATAAACAGTTGTATTATCCTAAGTATATGGATGTCTTACTAAACTTTGGCTCCTTCTTTTAACAGGCTGTGAAAGAAGAGTCCTCTTTTGTAAATCCCAGTAAGACCTCCAGCCTGCAGGACCCTAATGTAAGGTCTGTTGTTTCTTGTCCATAGGGAAAACATCAAATAAATGCATGATGTAGTGAGGCATTTTCCACACAGTATCTCCAACAGATGTTACAGGTCAACTTGCTCATCCACAAGTTCACCAAGCAATGGCCTGTCTGTCAGAAGGGTGCTTATTTGGTATGCGTATACCACATATAGTTGAAGAATTAATAAAAGCTCAGCTTTAAAAATTAGATGGAGCGTATATACTTAAACAATTGATAAATGCTGAAAGTAAAAAACAGGTCCAGTGACAGACCTAAAAATCTTGTGTAAAAATAAGTCAGTTTTCATAACTTATATATCAGAAGCACGCTAGATACTCCAAACTGGAATATCCTTGTGTTTGTGTTTTTCTGATGGCTCCTTTGCAGGCAGTAGTGACTAGTTTGGATTGTACTTTTATTCTGATGATGGTGGATAGAAGTCTTCCTTTTTGGAAATGGCCATTTTAAAGAAGCATATTAATTGTAAACATTATTTGAATGGCACAGTGTGCTGTGTCTCATCAGGTCACTAGAGAGGAGGTTACAGCATGAGTGTTTGAAAATTGCCTGCCTCTGTATGTGTGGTAGTACCACCACTTTGGACATCTTAAGTATCCAAATCTGAGAGGAGGATTGAATGAAAGAGAACTATGAATTCAAAGCAATCACACTGGCTGTCAATCAGCTAATATGCAAGTGTATATGCTATGTATATGCATATTCAATATATACGTGTATACGTAATATGCATATGTACTAGAACCCTAGTTATCCCATTATTTTATTTTATAACTTTCTGGTGGTGACCCTTGCAGTTGAAAGCAGACATTTAAGTATCTTATAGAAAAGTCTGGATGAGGGCTGTAATGAATTACATTTGACAGATCCTTCTGAACGCAGAAAGAAACAGTTAAAGTTGTGAAAGTTTGTCCACCCTTTCTTCCAATGTGTATCTTTCCTATAAGGTGAAAAATCACTAACAGTGTTCAAAAACCATTTCATTGAAATATTCCTTTCAGATCAGACTGGACTAGCAGAACTGCTATGTTTGCTTAGTGAAAGCATCTACCTACAGAATAATGGTGAGGATGGCTGGTGGTGCTGAGGCAGGAGGAGATGTGAGCAATGATATTGCTTTCCAGGGCAGTCCCTGTCTTGCCTGCAGTACAGCTGTGATTCCCAGTTCCCCACATGTATGTCTCTCATCTCGGGACAACCTACAGAGCTGTAACTTCTAGCTTGACAGGCTGTGATTTTCCCATTTGTCCAAGGGGCTGCAAAGTCTACTTGATATTTACAATCACCCTTTTTTCTCCTGTGCAATTGCCCTTTCTAGGCATCTACAACACTTTCTTATGTCCACTGAGAAAATTCATCACATACATTACACAGTGACCTATTTCTTTGTTTAATAGAAATGGGTTTCATGTATTGTCTTTGCCACAACAGCCTTTGTTGGATTGCTGTCACTTCCAGAAGCAGTTCAGGAGGTCCTAGACTGTAAAGCCCTGCGTGATTTGGAAAGTGGCTACAGACTTGTTTTCCTTACCTTCTGAAATCCTTATGCTGAACCTCTATAACATATGTAGAAAAGGCTTTCTATTTCACATTTGGTAATGGATTCTCTCCTGCTTCATCGTGCTGAGCTGTAAATGAATTGTATGCTTTGTGAAGTGAAATACTATTCAGCATGAGTAAGGATGGCAACCTGGCTGCAAAGCTGATATTACTGTTTTCTTTTACACACATCCAAGCTTATAAACTCATAAAAGCCACTTTGGAGTTCTCAGTATGCAGTAGACTGGTGTATATTTGTCTAATATTTATTTTTATCTGGTTTATGTCAAGCATTGTTTCCTCTACCCTCAGTTCTGCCAAATGATATGGTATTGTTTTATTGCTTTGTGTCTGTGTCCTGGAGGTACAAATATACAAGTAATCAGTGCTCAGCGATAGACCAATTTTAACAGCTTGCATTCAAAACTCAGAGAATAATGCAAAGTAAATTCAGTGTCTAACCAATTCTCTCTCTCCAAGTGGCTTTCCTTTCTGCAGGGACATATGCACTCTTGCAGACAGCCAGAATGTGACCTTTTTGCTAATAACATCCTCTATAACCTCTATTTTGTGGACTTGGATGGACACAAATAAGCCTTTGCTCTGCTAGGAATTGCATCTGAGTAGAGCTAAGGGTTAGTTCATACTGATCAGACAAGTCACCTGGGATTTTTTTCTCTTCTTTAGTTGAGAAATACACAAATATCCTTTGTACAAAAGCCCTCCCTGTAGAATATAGTTTTTATTCCTGCAAGAACCCATACAGACATTCCTGTAGACAACACCTGTGTGAATATTTGAGGATGTTTGCTTGCTGCAATATCTTACCAGTTGAAACCAGTGTCTGTTGGAGCTATTTAACAATAAATACCCTTTTTATGCAAGGGATTTACAGCAGGGACAATGAGTTCATGTGTTTCATTACTGATGACTGTACAATGCATTAGCAAAAATGCTCCGTTTTTTCCAAACCCATGCCATTGGGAAGTTTGTTCAGGCTACCTAGTAAGCAAACATATGCAGTTTTGATCATTAACTGAAGTATGAATTCTTCATACAAATAGGGAAATAGAAGGTGAGGAAGAAGGGTAGTAGTGCTTGTTTGATTAAAGAACTGTGCTCTCTTTGCTACCATTTTGTCTGCTCATCCATTGCCACTCTGAAGATTACACTTCCAATGAATTAACTACTTGGATATGGCCTGTAATCCCCCTGAGCAATTATTTTAGCATCTGCCATAGCAGACTCAATTTGGCTAACAATTGCTATAGCTCTTTGTAGAATTAGTTCTGGTTCAACTAGTAATTACTCATATATATGTGTGGTACAGCCCTTTCACTGCAAGCAGGTCTCCAGTCATTTTGTTGGGCATGGCCTTGGAATTATGTTGTGTTTATGCAAAGTTGCCATGTGTCAGTCAGTTTATTCACCTGTTTTCTGACTCTGTTGGCAAACTGCAGATACTTCTATATCTAAATCGGTTTAAATATGGGGAAAAAAACACAGCTGAAGCTGAAATTGCACTGTTTTGTTAGCTTTCAGGAGGGAAAAGCTTGTGAAATTTGCTCTGTTGTTTGGTGCAAAGGCTGGAAATGTAAGGTTGTCTCCTGATCTTTCTGTTAATAGCTCACCTGTACATGCCAGATTAGGCTGTGGGAGAATGTGGGACCACAGAAGAGTACAGTCCTCCCTCCTCCTGCATTTGGAAAGCAGTGCTGCATGTTTCTTTATGTCCTTTCCCTCCTCTGGATAGGGTTGTTTTTTTTTTTTCTCTCACACTGTTTCAAGTGCTGGTCCCCACATTCATTGAAGAAAAAGCTAGTGACTCAGTAACCCAGTACGTGCTACACTGTCCTAGCTTACACTCTCCTTAAGCCTCAGTGAAGACCGATATAGTGCATATGAATTGGGACACAGTTGTACGTTCCCCTTGCTGACCCTGCTGCTTTGCTGATAACCCCTAGCAGAGCAGCAGACCTGCACAGCGACAGTAGAAGTCGTCTGGTTACCTAAGCTGGATCCATCCAGGCTGCACATGATCAAAGTAAATGAGAGCAACTAATAGGAAGGGAATTTCAAAAGCGAGTTAAGCAGGAGAGCTACGAGTTATCCTGATAAGAGACAGGAGTCCTACCAAGAAGAGTTAGACATGGCTTTATTACAGCTCTGTTGTAACAGACTTGAAAGCACGCACATCTTCATCAACATCCAAGTAATACGTACAGAGAAGTACAGCCCAGCTATATAGCTGAGGCATAAGCACTTTGGACAAGGCAGAACTTAATGTTGGTTTGCAGAATAAGAAATACCTGAAAAAAAAGAAGTTATTTATGTATTTGCATTATTTTGGTTTTTATACTGCCTGTATTTAGTCAAGAAGAGATACAGCTGGTTTGCAGTTACTACTTTGCTTAGTGAGGCATGCTTTGCTAAGACATGTAGTAAAAATGTGTTTGTGTGGACATTGTCATTGTAAATTCCAAATGAGACCAGTCATTTTGCAGTGATTTTTAGTGGTACTTCTTTTGGGATGTAGGGCCCAAATCTGCAAGGGAAGCAGTGATCACATCAGTCCTTTTTGTGACCAAGGAGAGGAATTTGTCTTCCACTAGTGCTGGAAAAGCCTTTCTAACACGAACATTTTCTTCTTTAGTATTGTAAGAGAAGAATCTGTCATGGTGCTGAATGGGCCAGAAGGGATTATGAGGATTTAACAGAGGTATCTCCATGTCTGTTAGAAACTTCCTTACACCGAAGTATCTGAGTTGGTGTCCAGATGGAAGTGTTGAGGGAGAAGTGTTCGGGGAGAATTCACTGATCAGATATCTAATTTAATTTAGGTTTGAGATTACTGCATGTTCTTATGTATAATTTTGGTAAGGATCTCATCACCTGCCTCCAGATGGGATTTTTTTATTTGGTTCTTTTAGCCTTGAGAGATCAGGGTTCAGGCTGCCTGCCAGAACATTTGTATAATGAAGTAAGTATAAAATACTGTAGGAAATACAAAAATAACAATTGTGGTCGCCCAGTTTTGTATCACCTCCAGTTGCACTTTCCTGTGATCAAGAGATCCAGCCTGTCGACTGATGAGGGATGCAAAGGTTTCTCTCCTGCAGCGTATCAAGCGACTGTGAATCACATGGTCACCTCCTCACCTTTTTGTAAACCTCACCCATTTCTTAGTAAGGGGTGTGCTGCTAGAAAGATAACCTTTTGAACTTTCTGTCCAGAAGTTTACCACTTAATTGTGAGCCTGCTTCATTTGTTTAATGTAATAAATATATGGCTAACCACAGAACCCCACCAAGATAGTTCCTTCCATTATTCCTCAAAGCTTTGCCAGACAGAAGCACCATCTGTATAACTTTCCCACTGCCTATACACAAACTTCTCCTGAAGACTCTTTGAAGTGTCTGTTTTCCCTCTGGCTATGACCA